AGATAATTTAATTCAAAAAATTATATAAATTAACTAAGAATTTATCTAGATAAAATATTTAAATAAATAATAAAAAAAGAGAGAAATAGATAATAAAAAAGAAAAAAAGTAAGAAGAAGTAATAAATAAAAAAAAAGAAAAAATAAAGAAATCAAGAAAATAAATTAGTCAAATAAGAAGCTATTAGAGATAATTTAATTCAAAAAATTATATAAATTAACTAAGAATTTATCTAGATAAAATATTTAAATAAATAATAAAAAAGAGAGAAATAGATAATAAAAAAAAAAGTAAGAATTTATATAGAAAAAAATTACTTTTTTTTTATATTAATATTAATTATATATAATATATAATTAAAAATAAGTTATATACTAGTATATAAATATTAAATTACATATTATATATATAAAAAAGATTCAAAATTCATTTAATCTAAATTCATTTTAATTTATCATAATCATTATATAAATAATTATAAAAAAAATTTATTTTAATAGAATACTTATATCTTGAATACTATAAATAATATAATTATTATATTTAATTAAAGTTAAAAACTTATTTTTAATTATTATTTTAAAAGATCTATTTATAAATTAATAAATAGAATAATATATTATATAATTTTATTAATAATTTCTTTAATATTTAAGAATTTAAATTAATTCAAAAGAAAATAATTATTTGAATATTATATTAATTAATATATTAATATATAAATTAATATATTTATATATTATTATTACTTTATATTTTGAGTAACATTAATAAAAGTTTTTATTTTAATTATAAATCTAATAAATTACTAATAATTATATTTTGATTTTAATAAAATTAATATTAATTACTTTTAATTAAAATTTTAAATATTATATAAATAATATTAAAAAAAATTAGTTATTTAATTATAATTCTCAAATTAAATTATTAATATTTCTCTTAATTTATTTTTATCAAATCAAAAATATATTAAATAAATTATATTAAATATTATAATTTATTATTATTAATATTAAATATTTTCTTTTTAATTATTGATATTATTTAGAAATAATATCTCTAAAATTATTAATTCTCTCAGTTTCTACTTAATATTGATAATTTATATTATTTCAGTTATTTTAATTAAATATATAATTTTATTTATCAATATAATAATACTTTATTATATTATTTTATCATAATAATACTTGCTTTTTTCTGTTCTAATTTCAGATAATTTATTTATTATTTATCAACTTCATCATCCATATCATATTAATGCTAGTGATGAAGTTTTTTTAAGCAAATAATATAATTTCTTTACTCTTTTAAATATTTTAATTAATATCTAATTTTTTTTAATTAAATATGTTTTTTTTATAACTTCTTATTTGACTTTATATAAATAAATTAGCTTTCTGTTTGACCAAATAATATTTTCTTTTGAAATTGATACATTATAATAACTTGATAAACTATTTATAATATTTGATATTTTTGTTTTTCTTTATTTTTAATATTATAAATCTAGTATATAATTTAGTGATAGTTATTTTATTTTATAAAGCATTATAAATTATATTATTTGTAATATCAGATATCAGTTTCTATTATTATTTCTTTTAAGACTAAGATTCTAAATAGTTAGATTTGATTCAGTTCTTCCTTAGAACTGACATTGTACCAAATTTTTTGATTCAGTTTCAAAGGAGAATCAGTTCTAAGAAAAAATAGAATTGAGTTGAATTGAAAATTTTGATTAAATTTCGATTTGGTTTGATTCTGGTTTTAAGAAAAATAGTATCAAATTATGTTGTAGTTATCTTGCAATTCAAAGCAAATTATGTCAGATCTTATAAACAAAGTAAAAGATAAATATTTTTTAAAGTAAAAGTTATCTTATCTTTATTGATTAGACAAATATTTTGATCATCAGAATTAAAACTAATACATGTATATGTATCATAAATTATGAGAAAATTAGAGAATTAAGAAATTTAATTTAACTATAGTGACACCATCAAGTTTATTAAAATTCAAAGATTGAATTAATATCTTAACTTTAAAATAAGTTATAAAATAAGTCATATTTTTGATTTGATTTAAAATTTCATAAGTTTTGTTTAAGTATAAAAAGTATATTTATCTGCTATAATATTAGTTTTTATTTCTTGAAACATCAAAAAAAAGATTAGTTAATCTTATTTAGATTCTTATATTCACTTTCTCACAATTAAACAAACTTTTTAATTCAATAAGCTAGAATTTCAATTTAATAACTTATATAATCAATAATATTATATTAATATAATAATTATGACTTTATCCTACTCACATAATGATAAATATAAACTCAACAGAAGTTAGACACAGTCATTTTTTAAGCATTATATTTGTCTGATTAGCCATCATCCAATTCCTCCAATTCAATATCTTATTTCTCTATAGACGTAAAATATATTTCACGTATAATAAAATTTGTGTTTGTTGAGCTGATCATCATTACAGCTGAACTCACATTGGCTCAATATCTTTATAAAGATAGCTTTTCATAATACTATCAATTATTTTGCCAATTTAACATATTACATCTTTACTTATTATATTACTTTACAATGATTAATATAAATAGAATAAATTAAAATAATAAGTATTTAATAATTTAAAATAATAGTTTAATAACTTTATTTATACTAATTTTATCTAATAATAGATATTATAATTTCTAATTAACTATCATAATTATAAAAAGTTTATTTATTAAATTAATAATATGATTATTATAATTATAATATCTATTATTTTTGAGATATTTTGATTTAAAAAACTTATTTAAGTAATTCTATAATTGTGTTAGCCACTATATATTGCTTATATAATAAATTTTGAAGAATAATCCAATTCATTGATATTATATTGTTAATTTAATGAATTAACAAAAACTTTTTGCCAAATTGAAGTACAATTCAAGCTCTATTTCCAAAACTTTAAAATCAAAATTTATAAAATATTTCTCATATCTTTTATGATATTATCTTTTTTATAAAAAATATTGTATTTTGATCTTAAATATTTTTTAAAATAATTGTTAATTTAAATTTTAATTACATTTCACTGATCAAGAATTTGATAAAAATTTTAAGTTATTAATAAAGCAAGTTACATATATATGTAAAATGCCATTGTGATATTAATCAAGCAAATAAAGTAATACATATATAATGCCTTTATCATACTCTTAAAAATCAGCATTTTCTTTCCACGACAATGCAGGTTTGAATGCAATTTTCACATGTTAAAAAATTTATAAGAATCATAGTTTTTCTAATACTGTATATAAATTAAACATTTCGTTGACTACGCGTAATCGCGAGTCATTTTGATGCTCTTAAAGGTCGACAAATTATCAAAAATTCTACCGAAAACCGAGATATATATGTAATTCTCAAAGAGATTCATGCATCTTTTTAAAAGGAGACCAATTATGTAGTAAAAAGGACTAAATAATTTGTTAAGCTTCCTGCATAGCAAACTTTTATATGCTCTTGTTAGTATTGTATTAGTTGATGAGCTCAAAAATTTATTATTTTGCTCGATTAGGAAATAATGCAATGCTATTTATAACTATGATTTCATATGCTTCTGTCTCGTATATCCCATTCGTATGCTTAGATTAATACTAAAACATTACTTATTATCATTTTGAAATATTTGATCATTATCGAGAAACTGTAAGGACGCAAGTAAAGCAGCATCAGCATCCGACAAATCAGTTGAAAAATCCCAATTATGATCTTCAATAAAATCGAATTGCGATGCTTCCCATTGTATTTGTTCTTGTCTTTGCTCACCAAAATTCCTTGAAAGCTGATTTTGTGGATCTTGTTGCAGATGCTGTTGTCCCGATTCAAAGATAACATTACTGTCGTTGCTAAAGTCAAAACTTAAAGGTTGGGCTTGATGCTGCAAAGACGAAGACGAAGGAGAGGTTTTTTGTTGTTGCGTGGAATTGGAGACTTGAGTCAATGCAAAATCAGAAGATAATTGCGGTGGCGGAGAATTCGTATGCAGCGAGCAGAAAGAAGTATTAGCAGTTCCGGTTTGATCCCAAGTTTCCCTAGGAGTAGTTTCTTGTGATGGATTCGTTGGTGTTTTAGAGGATGACGAAGTTTCATCCGGCGTTTTGTCATCTGTGAGAAGGTCGGGATTTTCTTGTTTTTCAGGTCTTGGTGTTCTTTGGAAATCAAAAATGATTACGACCAATAAAAAGAAATATAAAATCAATAAGACAGAAAGCAAAAGAAATACTTTTTCTTCTTTTTCGATTTCAGAGTTTCATCATTAATGTTTGCAATTTCATCCCTTTTCTTGTGACGGTGTGACTTTTTGGATTTACGCTCTATTTATGGAAACAATGATATAAACTACTGCAAACAATGATTATAAATCAAAATTACCTTTCTTCCCGGGTGTCGAAGGAGTTGGTGGTGTCTCAGGAGTAGCAGTACCCGAGAATTCCTATTTTTACGGGAATCCCAATCAGTGTTAATTCACTCCTTAATCCACTTCACGCACTTTAACCTACCTCAACAGGTGTCTGCGGTCGATTCGAAATCTCTTCTTCCTCAAAACCCGACATCTCACTCAACTCCCTAACCAACTTATCAGTCTGCAATCTATACCTTTGTTGTGTATGCACAAATGCGTAATTCATTGAATTCATGAAATCATTTTGAAATTGAAGTGATTCTTTGGATTCTGTTTCGAGCACTATTAAAAGATATCTAGTAATGTTTTCACAAAAAAAATTCAATCCAGGTAGGGATAGGAATACATACTTGGATTATTTCCCAGCGCTAAAGAATCATCTTGGCTTTTATAAGAGTACCCGGTGGCAGGATGAAATTCGACTGTATCATATATAGCGTTGAATGCCGTATGTATGTGATGCAGACTAGTCATCTTTTGTATGATTATGCAAAAGAAATTAGTAAAAATGCAAAGAATTAATGAAAGAAAAGGAAATAACGTACAGCCCGATTCGCCAGCACATTATAGAAGCTTGGTGCTAGGTATATTCTCGCATTTATACAATAATACGTTTGAAGTATTACAACTACATAAAGTTATGAAATTAGATCCATATTATCGAATCTAAAAATGCAAAACCAATCAATTACAATCTTCTTTGCTCTTTCTATCTATCTTCAGTATTATGAACAAATTAGGCGGTTTCGACTTCTCTGAATTCACTATAAATTGGACCCCTGTAAATTTTCTGATACATTCAATTAGCATAAAGGTATTGGTGAAAAAAGAATGTTTAAATAGCACCTCACTTTAACAACTCTTCAGCTGATTTATTTTGTAATAACTCATTGAACTGCGTCTGCATTTTCAAGTTTGCATTGGCAGAATGAGGATCCCAGAATGGTGATTGCGCGAAATATTCAAGGACATTTTCGTATGTCAGGCATGGTGGATTTTGCTTATTATTCAATTTTAGAATTTGGTAAATGCAGATAACGGATTGATCAAAAAATATGCGCAAAATTATCTTACTGCCATAATCCATTCCGGAAATCGAAACTCTGTATGCTCCAATTCTTCTTCAGGAATTTGGGATTTTTTATAATGTGGTGAGCGTTGTCTGCGTATTTCTGCATTGTTATCATTTAGTTGGCTTTCTGCTTGAGCAAGATTCATTGTGATTGCTGTATTTTCGATTAGGATTATTACTTGGCTTGGTAATTGATTTTTTTATTGCTCTGTCAATTGACAATAAATTTATTATATTTGGCATTTAATTTGAAATTTTTTAAAACAAAAAAAAATCGAAATATTCGAAATAAAATGATGATTGTACCTTTTGCTTGTATTTATATATATACCTTTCCCAATCTAGGATCTGTTCTTGTTGACCTTCAATCACCATACACAAATATATTTCTAAATTGATTTTGATTCTTGATTTAATACGTGTGTTTTTTGATGATATATTGATATATTTTTTGCAATATATGAAGTTTGGATTCCTCCGTTCTATCAAAAAGTGATAAAAAATTTTAATTATTGATTTATGACGATTATTTTCTAGATTATGTAATGATTGTTTCTAATTATCCTAAGATCTACATGACATGTACAGATTTATTTTGAAATATTTGAAGGACAAACATACCGATTTATTTTTCATTATATTTTGGGTGTTAAACAAAAAAAATACTTGGCAAAAGACTGTAAATAAACAAATAACAAAAATTTCTCTAACATTAATAATTACAAAATTTATAAATATGAATCCATTATGTCATGTTTCACTTGACAAATCATCCTACTGATTTCAAGGCTATCCAAAATTCCGAAATCAAATTTCGGTTCCAACCAACATGCTCTCTCTATGTCAATCGTGGCCTCTGAATAAAGCTGCAGCGCCAAATTTACTTTAGCACGAAGAAAAAGCGGCCAAGCACTTGTTGGATGAGCCGCAATGGCATTATTCAAATCGACCAGCGCCTCCTGATTTCTATTTATCAGCAACAACAATTCGGCCCGTGTACACAACGCCACGAGATTTGTGGGGTTTTGTCGTAGCGCACGATTGAAATCGTTTAATGCTAAATCAGATAGTCCCATCCGGTAATATATTTCACCGCGATCACATAACGCGGACATGTCTTTCCATTCCAAGCGCAGGTATCGGTCGAGATCTTGTAGTGCGTCTTCCCTGCGATCTAGTAACAGATGAATTTTGCTGCGACATCGAAGCGCCATGGGATTTGCTTTTATTGAGACGGCCTTGTCTGCGTCGGCAAGCCCTTCGTGTGGGTTGCCCATCATGCAACAGGTTTCAGCACGCCGGCAAAGTGTTGACACGCTGTCTTTTTTTATTTTTAAGGCTTGATCTAAATCTTTGATCGCATCATCGAATCGTGATTGCAAACAATAGACTTTTGCACGGAATTTCAGAGTTGATGGGCTATCCTAAAATTTACAATTTTTAGAATTTTCAGTTGATAGTTTATTATTCCGATTAATCGATATATTTTTAGCCTACATACAGGTTTGTATTTTAGACCAGCGTCAAAATCTCTTAACGCATCATCGAAACGTCCAAGAGTACGATTCAATTCTCCACGATATTTAAACGCTGTTGCATTTGTGGGTTTATGTCTCAAGGCTCGATTAAGGTCTAGAAATGATTTTTAAGCTTTTGATTTCTAATATACACGAAAAAATTTCATTCAGATAACAAATATTTCTATCAACAAACCAATTAATGCTTCCTCACACATTCCCATTCTACGATAAACATCGCCTCGACTTGCCAATGCCGAAGAGCTATCCGGTCTTAATTTCAAAGCGGCATTAAAGTCCTGCAAAGCCTCCTCGTATCGGTGCTGCATACAATAAACATCACCACGATCGCGAATCGCGCAAAAATTATCCGAATCCAACTTCAGGATATGTTCCAGATCAACGAGCGCTTTCGCGTAGTATCCCTGTTGATAGTAAACATCACTTCGATTCTTCAACAGAGAAATATTATCCGGCTCGATCTGTAATGCAGCGCTGAAATCCGCGATGGCATTGTCCAGTCGCCGTAACTTTCGAAAAACTTCCCCTCGTTTCTCTAGTGTGGTAACACTTTTTGGTCGAATCTTTAGTGCAGCTGTGAAGTCGATGATTGCTTGTCCATATTGCTCTTTCTTGATGAGAACTTTTCCACGATCTCGTAATGCAAAGGAATCATCAGGATCTTGTTTTAGTATCTGATTTAGTACGGCTAATGATTCGTCGTAACGATGAAGCTGATAATAAGAATCGCTCTGAATTTTCAAAGCGGTTGCACTATGACTTCGACGCTTCAATACTTGTCTCACATCTGACAGCGCATCACGATATCGATTAAGAAAGTAGTAAGCGTCCGCACGATGCTTCAACACACAAATACTCCATGGTTTGATATTCAAAGCACGATTATACTTTTCCAATGCCTCATCACACCGATTTAATTTTCGTAATGCCAAACCCCAAAGTCTTAGAATGGAAACTTTCTCGTGTGTCATTTCAAGCTTCAGATCAAAATCGCCCATCGCGTAAACATTTCCAGCGTGACCTTGTATCAGTTCCTCGATAAATGCCTTTTTCGAGAACTTCAGCGATGGTATGTACGCTGGATAGTGCAGGCTCTCGAGAAGTGGGGCTTGAATATTGCAACGAAAAAGTTTCTCCAAATTCACACGCGCTAATGTATACGATCCCATTTTCAAATAAATCGAAGCACAACCTCCAAGGGCAAACGTATCATTCGGAAACCATATTAAAATGTCTTCAAGTTCCGCAAGTGCTTGTTGAAAACTATTTATGTGGAAGTACACGGCGGCCCGTATCAACAAGGCCAATTTCAGACGCGGTTTTCGACGAAGAATTACATTTATCTCTTGCAATGCGATCTCAAAGTCCTTTAGCATCCCGTATGCAATCGCACGTCTACATCGGACCACGTACTCCTCATTCTCTAATTTACTCTTTGTTCGATTCGAACACACAAAATTGTTTCTACTTCTGGTTCGTAAGGATTCTTGCAGATAAACTGTGCACCATTTTATTCCCTCTTGCCATTTCCTGTGCCTCATTGCAACCATTGCTTTTTTCTTCGACGACCAATTGCTTTCATATTTAAATATTGATTGTTTGATGGGTGATAATGGTGGTGGCGCATTTGTAGCAGTGGTAGATGATGATCTAGTACTCAGAATAAATGGTTGTTGTTGTTTTAGTAACGAAGGTGGTGGTGGCTTAGTTGTTATTACTCCATTATTTTTGACAAAGTATTTTTTCTTTTGTGTTGAGCTATTATTCGTTCCATATGTCTCCGCTGCTGTCTTTTTTCAAAGATATCATCATATTTAATAAACGATGTATTATTTCATAATAAATCTATATGTATAGAGATATATAAATATACGTATCTAAACAAACAAACCAACAAACCTTGTTTAATAATTTTTCTTTAGTTAAACCTATGATCATAATTGTGTGTGTATATTAATATACGTACTATTAACGTTAATGTATGTATTCATGTAGAAAAACAATATCGATATGAAATCGAAAATATGAAATACTGAAAATATCACGCAGTAAAAAAGGATAAACAATGTAGGAACGATCACAACTTTTCTATGATACATGTAGTGATAGTCAAGCCATCCAATACATGTAATTAATCATCTGTGAAATGATTTTTTGTATAGCGATAGGTAACAATGAATTCAAGAATCTTAAAATAACTACACTAACGCTAAATTTATGTAGGTTTGAATGATTTTAGGAAATGCTGCAGTATTACTTAATACATGTAATTAAAAACACAATCTTCTCTGAAACAGGTAAGTTCGCAAAATCAGGCAATAAACATGATTTAAACCTTCCTTAAAATTTTAAAACAAATCATTATTCTGAAACTATTGTTCTTCATATTACCATTCCGAAATTTTTTATTGTTTGTTGTATTATAATGAAGTTTCTTGTTTATAGTCCGCATTACACATTTTATATCACAAATGAAATAGCTATCCACAATGAAATAAGTAGACATTAGTATTTTCTTTATAAATGGTCCAAATGCGAATGAATACACCACCAAAACGAAAAAAAAATTGGAAAAGATAATTACAATCGAGTGTGAGATTGCCGACATTCCAGAAAAAAGCAGTCGGATTTGTTTGTTGTAATGGATTACGTGTTACGAATATGACAGGATTTGTACGAATAAAAGCAGAAATGCCGGATAAGGAAGGTAAGTATTTACAACACAAACATTCTTCAGCTTCACAATATTATTCAACTTCCCGTACTTCAAGAATATCTTTAAAAGTTACAACATCCTCATGCTTTCTATGGTGCTGCTCGTCGTCTCAAGATTAATAACATGTATTTGCCCATGCACGCTGCGCTTACATTAAACTTTCGGAACACAGCCTCCCACATTTAGGCTTATCGTCAAATCCTTGGGATTTGTATTATCAAAATTTCGTTGTTGCCTATGGCGCTGGGCGTTTCTCTTCTCATGGACATGCTTCCCGGGCTAATTAAGCAACTATATCGTAAGTTGAAGAGATACAAGTTGGTTAACGAGTTTTGACTAGTCAGGTATGTTATAATTAAGTAAAACGATGCATAATAAAGCCATTCTCCTTACCATTATATCGTTTGTCGATTTACTCACCTTATAAAGGATGGTTTGAATCGCCTCAAAGGATTTATGCCTCGAATGTCTGCAGATCAACTTGTCTAACTCTCTGGAGCCAAGATGTCAAAAAGAATATATCTAAATTCGCAGCTCAGGCATTAGCTCGAACTTGATGTCAATTAGACTGGTTATTACCGGTGGAAATCAAAACTGACGGTAAAGCTGGTAGCGCATATATACAAGTCTTTGTCAAATGCTGGTGTCACATGAAAGTAACATTATTTTGAGTAGTGTAATACCAATACCATTCTATTTACCCATGCAGCGTAAATTGGCGCAACAATGTGTGCCATATGTTTGGTGTTTATCGTTATTATTATAGTGTTTATGTTACTATCTTTACATTCATCAAATGACCCACTCTGATTGAATGATCGTTTGATACTTGATCTTTAACAAACCCAAATACTTAATTTGGAATGTTTGGAATCCGTAAATATAAATACGAGATATGGTCTTTTCTGATCTGGTACCGCTTCTTTTTTCATACAAAGAAGGATTTATATAATAACAAATACGAGATTGCGGTTTCTTTACCTTTTTTATCCTTTTGATTGTATTTCATATGTCAAACGTTATTCAAATTACAATATATCTTCTTTTTATGTCTTGTTCGACTTTTATTTCAGTTTTATTCGTATATTAATAAATCACTCATCCTTGTTTTTTTTTAAATCAAAAAGTTTAATCTCATAAATTAAATCATTTCCAGAAAAGTAATCCAACATTCATTTAATTTATCTTCCCTTCTTTCTGGTTCAGGATTCTAATTTATACCTTTTAGCGTAATTTATCATTAATCATTTCTAGAAAAATATTCATTTATCCTCTTTCTGTTTCAGGATTTTAATAAATATACCTTTTAGCGTAATTTATCATCAGCAACGGTAAAAAAAAATGACTAAATTCCAAGCAGAAATTAGAGCAATGTCAATTGCCATAAGACTAAAAAATCGAGCACGGTCACGTCTCAACAATGGTATTTATACCGCCACATCACTGACCACAAAAGATCCAAAAATTGATACGGCACTAATTTCCCCTTCGGGAACTTTGACTTCGCCTCTCTCAACATCCTCTTCTGCGTGTTCAACGTTGGTATCAACACCAACAACACCATCGTCAACGATATCTTTCAAGGAAAAATACAACGCCGCCTGCACCATTCATCGACATCACAATCCTAAAAGAGAAAGGTCATACGCCACAGATCCCACGTTTCGATGGAATCTTCAGAGACCAGTCCCGCAACTAATTTTGTTCTGGGAGACTGTTTCGTTGGTGGGTTCTGCGATTGCACGTAGATGTGCTGGTTGGACTTGAATATAATTTAAACATAACCCACTTAAAAACAATAATTTAATCGTTTACAGTCAATTAACTTTCGAGTCATTTTTCTCGTTATTATAAATATTAATAGAGCTTTAATAATTTAATTAATTTATTAATTTAATTGAGAAAATAGAAAATTAGAATTTTTGTAACAAATGTACCAATACCAATTTTCCCATGTTAACCATGTTAACGTTAAAGATTTGATGATCATTAAATAAATACTGTAGTTGCCGTTTTGTCTTTTGTTTATTCCAAAAAAAAAACTATATGGAATACGTCTTCGTAACTAACCCTAATACAGGTATCAGATTTGTCCGAACTGAGTCCGTGTCCCGTAAGTAATCTTTGGGAATCTGTCAAAAGTAATTGATAACTATTATTTACTCAAACTATTCAAAAAGAAACCCCGCCGAAAGGCCCGGAAAACATTCCCCAACTAAAAGCAAAGCTAGACCCTCTATTCGCAGTACACAAAGAATTGTCGGCTCGAGTTGACAAGCTAGTGAAGGAGAATAATAATAACGAGAAAACACCGAGCGACAGTGATGACAGGGTTCTGCATCTCTCCAGTAATTAATTATTACGTATATTAATCAGTGGTCTTCAAAGATTTAACTTGATTATTAATTGACAAATCAATTCGAATTCAATAAAAGCTCACGAATTGGTCGAGACCCTAAAAGACGTCATTTGGAGCTTAAACAGCACCAAAAAGTTTCTTGAGAATGCAGAATCAAATCTGGGATCGTTTCACATTAGGTCTTTATGCTGTTATCTTGATCATTCATTCATGTGAAATTTATTAACACTTATGCAAATAAAGACTCCCACTCACAAAATCAGAAATCGCGCGTGAATATTATCATGTACGCCTCGACCAATACTCGTACTACTGCGACAACCTGTTCCCAGTGAATTTTGAATCGAATCAAAATTCGTTGAAACGTGTCAAGCAAAGTCTTGATAAGATTGAACGTGCGATTGCGAGAAAGAGTGGTCAGGGAAATGTGGAAAAGGGGATGGAGGAAAAAGAGAAAGAGAGAATGAAGGAAGGGGTGATTGTGTCTTTAGATGCACATCAATTAGAACAAATAAAACAACAGCAGCAACAACAGCAGCAGCAACAACAACAGCAACAACAGCAACCTGATGTTGTCATGGCGAATACGCAAGAACAAGAAACAACAGTACTATCACAAATTGTACAACAACCACACCAACAACAAGAAGAGCAACCGAAGGATGTTCCTAGCATTGCGCAAGAACAACGAGAGAAACCAAAGGAAACAGAGGAAAGTCAACAACAGAAAGTCAAAGAAACACCAAATATACAAACGCAAGGTTCAACTCCTTCAACACCTATAACTACGAATATTGCAACACAACAACAGCAACAGATCAGACCACAAACACCTACAAGAAATACGCGTGTTATTAGTCAACAACAGAAAACACCGACAAATCAAAATTCGCCACAAAAACAACAAACAACGACACCACCAGCAAGACGTACTGCATCAACCACAGGTAATAAATTATCACCACCAGCAAATTTTTCTCAAATGTCTCCAGCTCAGCAAGCTGCATTCCTGAGACGTAGCCTGAATTCTAAAGGAAAATCTACAACTACAACACCCACAGCAACAGCAACAACTAGCACAGCCACCCCAGTGAATACTCCAGTATCACCATCACCAAGTGGCCAACAACAACAAAAAACTCCTGTGACAAAAGACACGCCGACTGGAAAATTACCAAATTTTCCAACACCATCTGGTCAACAAGTCACTGCCACACCTGTTAGAACTTCTTCCAGCATAGGCAAATCTCCAAAGATACTTGGAAAACCAGCCACTCTTGTGAGAAATAGTCCAGTCATCACAGCGACTTCACAACCACCAACTTTGTCAACTGCCACAACAACTTCTGCACAGAAATCGCCCACCATTGTTATCCTTTCTCCCGATTCAACACAGGTTCAACAACAATCATCTACGACTCCGCAAACGACGCCCTTGATAGAAGAAATACCACCAAATGCACCGGAAATTGCACACATACAAATTGATCAGCCTACAGAAGTGGCTTCGCCTGCACCTGATCCAATGGATGTGGATGAATCAAAAACAACTAATACCAATACTAATGAAAATAATAGCAATGAGCCAATTATAGAAATCTTAGAAACTTCGGAATTTCCTTCGTCCTCAGTAAGTGATCAGCGGCCGGAAGTTACTATTCTTGAACAACCTCCGTCCGTGACTGTGATAAATGAACAAAATCAATAATTATGATACTGACAAATATACTTGGTGCATGATTAAAAATTAATTATCACGCGTAAAAATTTTTGTGCAATACGATTTTATTTAATAGAAAACACAAATCTTCTACAGTTATTACAAAATAGCACAGCTAACGACATTAAATATATCCTCTCTAGAAGCTGCTATGTTATTTGAAAGTCCATCTCAATGAACTCCCATTGAAGGATAGAATCAAATACATCACGTACCCACATCACTTGTGAACATTGCCCCCAAAGTCAATCCCTCTATATACACTTTTAGATTAACGATAGTGCAGGGGATGTCTAGTGAAATGCTCCTCACTTTGATCGTATTCCATCCCTCCATAAAAGAGTCTAGCAGTAATTGCAATAGCAACAGCAGCACTTCTCAAAGTGATATCGAGCATAAATGAGACCTGAAAGAAGAGAAATCCATGTTGCCCACTTAATATATCACTTGTCAATTAAAAGTTTTCAATATACCGTATTCTCCCGGTAATAGGAACCACCTGAGAATAAGCACCACCCCCAGTTTAGATCAAAAATTAAAAGTACTATATTACTAATTGTAATATATATATATTTAATTTTCAAAAAAATTTCAATTTATAACCTCTCTTTTACTGCAT